AGGACAGACAGAATTAAAGAAGGAGGGAAGGAAAAATCATGGAACACACAGAATGGAGCATCATCTCAGAGTTACTCTATACAGAATATCACTATGAATTATATAAGACAACCAACATTCAAACTAGATTCCACTTTTCATTTTAAAAATTACATCATCATTCTCGCAAAAAGTCAGGTCCCCAGGGTATAGTTCACTGCAAATCATTCTCAGTCTTTTCCTTTGAGAAATGGGGTGAACAAGAGGAAATATCTCAAATAACTACTTTTGGGATTAAAGCCTTACATAAAAAGCAACCTGCACAGTCCTGATATTGAAAGCACTTTTCAATGACAATTGTATGGTTTTTATTCCATTTCCTCCAGGGATAACAAGGAAACAAGCAGCATAAGGAAAGAATGCTAAAATTCAAGAGTATCATTTTTGTGGAAATGATGTCAGTATGTGATGTGAACAAGCGCTTTAAATATCAAGCTAGAAATTACAGGAATGGCTGTCAAACTGGTTAACAAAGATGGAACTTTAAGGAGCATGAAGAGGGAACAAAAATTTAAAAGAAATCACTGAGAAAGTTGTTGAGAAGAAACAAATACAAAAACAAATAAAAGCAAATTCTTAGGTGCATTGGGAATAAGAAATTAATCATGTCTTTTAGAGGATAACAAAAGGCAGAACATTTAAATTCACAAGATTTGTTTTAGGATCTTAAAATTTCCACTTGGATTTGAGGTCACTGATCGGTCAAGGACAAGAGGCTGCTCTGCTAAGGAGTCTTCCCAGGGCCCCCTTCACATCCTTGTTCCTCAGGCTGTAGATGAAGGGGTTCAGCATGGGGGTGACCACAGTGTACATCACTGAGGCAATTGAGCTACTCTGGGAAGATCGGGTCACAGCGTAACTGAGGTATTCCACAAGGCTTGTCCCATAAAACAAGGAGACCACACAGAGGTGAGAACCACAGGTGGAAAATGCTTTATACTTGCTTGCAGTGGAGGACATCCTGATTAAAGAGGAGACAATCCTGGAGTAAGAGAAGAGGATCCCTGTGACAGGAAACACACCCAGGAGTGCCGTCGTCACATACACAAAGAGGTTATTGATGAGGGTATCACAGCAGGCCACCTTGAGAAGCTGAGCCAGGTCACAGAAGAAATGTGGAATCTCAGTGCCTGTAGAGAAGGTCAGTCTCTTCATCAGTAGAATGTGAGCCAAGGCTACCCAGAAAATGATGAACCAAGACATCACAACCAACAGGATGCAGAGGCAGGGGTTCATGATGAGCATGTAGTGCAGGGGATGGCAGATGGCCACATATCGGTCATAGGCCATCACAGTCAAGAGGAAATTATCTAATCCAGCAAAAATCATAAAAAAATACAGCTGTGTGAGGCACCCTGTGTAGGAGATGTCTTTGCTGTGAGTCTGGATGTTCACAAGCATCTTTGGGACAGTGGTGGAGGTGAAACAGATGTCAGTGAAGGACAGGTTGGAGAGGAAGAAGTACATGGGGGTGTGGAGGTGGGAGTCAGAGCTGATGGCCAGGATGATGAGCAGGTTCCCGAGCACAGTGAGCAGGTACATGGACAGGAACAGCCCAAAGACAATGGGCTGGAGTTTAGAATCCTGTGAGAGTCCCAATAGTAGGAATTCTGATAGTTCTGTGTGGTTTTCTGCTTCCATGTAGCTCAGGTGTCTGCTGGAGAAGGAGGCAAAAGCAATATTCAATGAATAGGTAACTAAGACCTCAGCTAGTCATCACTTCACAGTGTCACCCTTGGGTGAACATCCTTCACCTTCTATTGAGTCCTTATATTGACAGTAATTCACTCAGCCAAGTGGTAGTCCAAATTTATTTTAAATATGTAAACTTATTCAGGTTTTCTGTCATTAAAGATAAATCTCTTTTTGATATCTGCTCACTAGATTTAATATTTCTATTTGCGTCCTGGCCAGTGCTCCCCCAAAGAAGTAAATGCTACTCCTAGTTGAATCTTTGGACGTACATTAAGTCTTCTTAGATATGGACCTCCCAAAATAATGTATGATATTTTATGTTTTCTCCTTGATGATCATCATACTTCCATTATCATGCAATAGTGATTAGACATGGAGTTTGAACTCAAAGAACCCTTATTCTGTGACTATATGCTTCCTAGCCATGTGAGAGTTAGCTCTCTATGCCTTAT